CCCCCCCCGCCGGTCGGAGGTCCAGATCAAGGTCATGGACAGGCTGCTGAGAATGTCTGACGACCAGCTAGGTAGAGCCCCCTCTGCTCCCCTCCCCAGCTGGGGTGGGGGGTGGGGGGTTGGGGGCTGGCCCCTCCCCTCAGCTCTCCAGCAAGGTCCCTTCCACCTGAGGCTGGGCTCCATTCCCATAGGGTCTACCCACTCAACATACCAGTTTCATTTTAATTAAACTTTTAAAAATATATGTATTTTTATTGATTTCAGAGAGGAAGAGATGAAGGAATCATCAATCGGCTGCCTCCTGCACACCCCACACTGGGGGTCAAGCCCGCAACCTGGGCATGTGCTCTAACCGGGAATCGAACTGGGACCTCCTGGTTCATAGGTCGATGCCCAACCACTGGCCACACCAGCCAGGCTTTATTATTGATTTGAGAGTGAGAGAGAGAGAGAGAGAGAGAGAGAAGAGAAACATCATCGGTTGCTTCCTGCATGCGCCCCAACAAGGGATCGAACCCATAACCTGGGTTATGGGATGACGCTGCAACACCAGCCACATGGCAGGGCGGGCCCACGTCTCTCTGACCTGCGGGGTCAGGCAGGCTGCATCCCTTTGTGGTGCTGCAGAAGCCCGAGTCTCCCGCAGTCTGTGTGGGCGGCGTGGCTGCCGTGCAGGGTTAGACAGCACTGCACCGGGCACCGCAGGGGATAGCTTCCTGGTGCCCGGGGTGTGAAGACTGTGTTTTCATAGACGCACCCGCCTGCCCAGAGTGCATGGCAGCCCCTCGCCCCACACTCCCCATCCGTTAGCATTAAGTTTTAAAATTTTTCCCAAACACGGTTTCATAAAGTCCATCCACTCAACACACCAGTTTGAAAATTATTCACTTACTTGTCCATCCACCCACCCACCCAAAAATCTATCCATCAACCATCTGTCCATCATCCTCCATCTACCTATCCAACACCTATTCATTTATGTCCACCCATCCATCAACTATCTGTCCAACTGTCCATCCATCCACCCACCCACCTATCTATTCATCTGTTCATCCATCTGTCCATTCATCCACCCACCGTCCGTCGCTCGTCTGCCCACCATCCCTCCCTCCACAGAGGCCTGTCCCATGGCTGGGGCATCGGCGATGACAGAGGCCCCGTCCTGCCGGTAATGAGGCAGCAGACACCCCATCTTGGCCATTTACCTTTCCCCCTCTCCCTCCCTCCCTCCCATAACCCCCTCGAGCCAGGCTGTGGCAGGACAGTCAGAGTCCGCGGGAAGGGAACTTGCCTTCCCGGACAAACGGAGGAGGCTGCCGGGCCCTTCCCACAGGCCTTTCCCGCCTTGGCCAAGTGTGGGGATGGCCGGGCGGGGGCTGGGCCGGCAGCGCTGGGCCTGCTCCTGGCTCATGGCACT